CTGCTGTAGCAAAAGTTCTTTGTGCTTACATAGAGAAATTAAAATTGACCAATAGAGAATGATCCAAAACAAAACTATCAAAAGTTTTCAAAGTGATCTGTGAGAGAGGCAAAATGACTTGGGCTTCTTGTTCTACAGTCAGAAAACTACAAAAATAATACATATCTGTTTCAGTACCTCTCTCCATACAAAAGACCATGAGATTGAAACGTATGACAACAGTGTTTTACCATGGTAGGTATTCAATAAATATTTGTTGAATGAAAACATATATGTATGTTGCATATACATAAGAACATAAGACTGACACATTTAACAACAGTGTTTTACACATGGGAGGTATCCAATAAATATTTGTTGAATGAAAATATGTTATGTTCTGACTCACAGTGACCCTATATAGGGTTTCCGAGACTTTAAATCTTCTCCTGAGCAGAAAGCCTCATCTTTCTCCTGTGTGTATATGTATGTTGTTTTTGTTAAGTACCATCAAGTCAGTTCTGACCCATAGTGACCCTGTATAGGGCTTTCAAAGAGCAGCTGGTGGGTTTGAACTGCCAACCTGTGGTTCAAACCGACCTTGCAGTTGAGGGCTTATCCTACAGTGCCACACTACTATTTAAAGGAGTGGACTCTTGGTATGGCGCTGCAGGATAATGCACTGGACCACAGGTCGGTTTGAATTGCTAAGTCAGCAATTCAAACGCACCACTCACTGCCGGGAAACCCTATACAGCGTCACTATGAGTCAGAAATGGCTCAATGGCACTTAACAACAACAACATTTAAAGGAATACCGTAATCATCACATTGTTTTTCCTTTAAATAAAAAAAAGTTCTGAGTAGACTTCCTGTTTCATTCATAATAAACTTCACAGTCTTTATCTTGGCTAAAAGAGCATTGGTGGCACTGCAGGATAAGTATTGGACTGCTAACTGCAAGGTCAGCAGTTCAAACCCACCTGTCACTCCATGGGGAAAAAGATGGACCTTTCTGCTGCCATAAAGACTTACAGGCTTGGAAACCCTACACAAAATCCCTGGGAGTTAGAACTGACTCAATGGCAGTGGATTATCATGGCCTACAAAGCCCTATATGATCTGCAACACTGCTACCCCTGAAACTCACCTCTCACCACTCTCCTCCGCTCACTCTGCTCCAGCAACCTGCCACATACAGGTCTGCCTCAAGGCCCTTGTAACTGCTCTTCCCTTTGCCTAGAGAACACTCTTCCACCTTCATTTCTTGTAGTCTCTGCTCAAATGTCATCTGGGGACTGGCTTTACCACCCTATCCAAAAAAGCATACCTCTTATCCTACTATTTTGACTTCGTATCACTTATTGCTAACTGAAATATATTTGTTTTATTTATTTCTCTTTTCACACTAGAAAGTCAGTTCTAGAAGGGCAGGAACTTTGTTTTGTTCAGTGCTGTATCCCTGGGTTACAATAGTGCCTAGCCCCTAGTAAGAATTTAATAAATAAATATTTGTTGAGTGAATAAAATAATTAACAACAGATTGGAGTCCAGATACCTGTGGTCCTACTCCAACTGTATCACTAAATAGCTGTGTGACTTTGAACAAATGTCCCCTCTCAGTTTCTGAATCTGTAAAACGATTGGTTGGGAATAGATGTTTCTAAAGCTGCTGCCAGATCTAAAATTCTGTTATAAACATTCCATTTATAAATAACCTTAGGTTAATGTTTAGAAACACAAAAACTTTTTTTATTTTATATCTACACAAACTGCATGCATTCTGGGCCTCTTTATTATGATTCAAGACCCTGCACCAATGGCCCCTGATGACGCGTTTTCCAATCCTTCCGTGCTTCATACAGACCTTTTCTTCCTGAAATCTCTTGTAGCAGCTAATGAAGTAATTATGGTTTTCTGTTTCTCCACAAAGAATGTGAATATTGTGAGGGTAATAATGAATTCCTAGTAATTTTGTATTCCCAGCATCTTGCAGGGTCCAGTTAGGAGACACTCCATGAATGTTTAGTGGATGAAGGAATACAGGTAAGCCAAACTGCAATAGCATCATTACTCATATTGAAAACTGGGAGCATCCTCTTCCTTCGTTGATGAATGGGGACAGAATGTAGACCTTTACTGCCATTAATGATTCATCTGAAAGGATGAGTTGGAAATCTGCTAAGGGCTAACTAAGTACTTGATCCTCTGACAATTTTATAATTAGGAATTATTGTCACCATTTTACAGGTGAGAAAGTTGGGGCTCAAAGAGGATAGGGAATTTACCTATGCTAAAACAGCTAATAGGATTCACATGCAGCCTGCTTGATGCCCTATATCATTTTCACATCACTGAATAACAGCAGGACAGGACTTCCCCACTCCAGGGTAAGCAGTGGTATGTGTACACTGGAGTTTTCCTGCACTAGGAAGGCATTTTTACAGTAAAAGAGGATTTTTTTCCCCAAGATCCAGAAAAGTAGCTATAGATAATTTTACATATCACATCTGAAAAGGTAAGTAAAGGATTTACAAAAACACTATACCGTGTGGCCTCCAAATTTTAAAGAGAGTTTATTTTTCTATTATGCAGAAAAGCACGGCATGTTCATTATAGAAATACTGAAAAACATCAATAAATAAAAAGAAAAAAATTAATCAACCATTATTTCATTTAGTGAGAACCATCATTAGCACGTTTCTTGTGGCCTTTTTCAAAAATATTTTTTATTTTATGATTGTTGTTGTTGTTAAATGTTGTCGAGTCGATTCTGATGCATAGCGACCCTGTATAGGGTTTCCGAGGAGCAGCTAGCTGGTGAGCTTGATCCACCGACCTTGCAATTGAAATGGCTTTGCAGTCTGACGCATTAACCCACAGTGCCACACCAGGCCTCCTCCCATATACATAGCCATAATTAAGATTATTCTAAATTATAAAATTATTTTTCCCAAATCTAATAATAAGCAATATTCCTATATTAGAAATTTAAATAAATAACACTTTAATAATGACTCATCAAATAAAATATCGTCAGCCTTTCACGTCTTAGTTTAAATGAGTTTCAGATTCTTTAGGGGGTAAATTTTAGTTGGGCAAGGATATGAGGATCCCGGACTTCACTAAGAGGAAAAAGTTAGAAAGACTGGGGTTGGCAGACTTATGCTTCTCAATACCATTCAAACACCGGAGGTCCCAAACTCTGGGTTCCATTTCCCACAAGTATCTTCTCCTGCCTTTCTTTGATGCATCCTCTAAGGCCCAGCTTGGGATCCTGACACTGCTCTGTCAGATAAGCAGTAAAGTCAGCGGTTCAAACCCACCAGCCTCTCCTTGAAAACTCTATATGAGTCAGAACCGACTCGATAGCACTTAACAACAACTACAACTTTCAAGGAGTCCTGGTGTGGCACTATAGAATAAGCACTGGTCCACCTATACAGAGTGGCTATGACTTGACTATACTTAACAACAACAACACTGCAAATTCTGGGAAATATGCGTGTTCTGTAGGATAAGCACTGGATTAGAAACCACAAGGTAGCAGTTTGAGCCCATCTGCCATTCTGATGGAGAAAGATGAGACTTTCCGCTCCCACAAAGATTTACAGCCTCAGAAACCCTTTACTGGGCTGTGATGGGTAAGAACCAACTCAACTGGCACTATCAACAATTAACTTCAACTCTGCTAGCTTTGGTTGGGCAGGATTTTTAACGGGGCAAAATGGGCATTCTGAAGCAATGGGGTGCATCCATCTCTCACCTGTGAAAATATTTCCTCTTAAAATATTAATAGACTTAGGAAAGGACACCACTGGCTTGACAGATATGCTCAGGGGGAATGAAAACCCACCCATTCCCAAAGAGAACAAAGGCAGAAACATATCAAAATAGAGAGCACATGATTGCTACTATTCCTGGTGTAGCGCTGTAGGATAAACATTGGCCAGCCGTTCAAACCTACCAACTGCTCCTAGGAAACCCTATACAGGGTCACTATAAGACAGAACAGACTTGATAGCACTTAACAACTACAACAACTGAGGAAGGAAGAAGAGAATGAAGGGGGACCTAATTGGAGGAAGGCAGTCTTTTTACATGGTATTACATAATTGAATTTACATTCACTGAAATTAATTTGTGATTATGAAAAGAAGCAGGGTTTTAAGAACAGTTTTCTGAAATTTATGCTTCTTTGCACCAAAGAACTTACAGGTCTTGGTACCCAAATTGAAGACGTGGTTGCGCAGTGGTTAAAGTGCTCTGCTGCTCATTAAAAGGTCTGCAGTTTGAACCCAACAGACGCTCTGCTTGCACAATGTTTACAGTCTTAGAAAACGTATAGGATAAAGTTCTATTCTGTCCTATGGAGTTGCTATGAGTTAGAATCGACTGGTAGACTTTGGTACCAAAATTAATTCCCTTTTTATACAGACTCGAAGGCACTTTAAAAAAAAAAAAAATTGCAACCTCAGCTGCAGCTAGGAAACCCTATACAGGGTGGCTCTCGATGGCACTTAACACCAACAACATAGCCACCTAACGCAGTACTAGGCACCTGGGAAACCTCATTTGAAAGTACCAGACGGGCGTCAGTGACTTCACTCTAATGCCATCTCTTCACACTCAGGCTTTCAAGACTGATTCTGGGCCTTGGGCCAAGTATGTGTTCCAGGGAGCACAGTTCTGCAGTCAGGCGGGACCCTAAGTAAATCCCCAGAAACCAACAGCAGCAAGTCACAAGGAGCCTGGGAGAGGGGGAGGAGAGAAGAGCTTAGCTGCAGGCGGGCCTGTCACTCCAGCTGACAGCAAACACCTTCTTTTAAAAAGTAGTGTGCCCAGAGAGAAAGTGCTTAGCTCAAGGGAAATGAAGTGTAGAGCTTAAAAGGGGGAGGAAATCAAAAGGGGGGGTGGTGTGCGAACGGTTCCCTCTTGACACATCTTGGCCCCTACGCAGGCCTGTTTAGGTCCTCAGGAGGGGGCACTCGGGCTTGGGACCCAGGAGAGGCACATTCTACCTGCCGTCCGGCTCCTCCTCGGTTTCCACGGCCGTCTCGTCCTCCTCGCCCTCTGACTCCTCCTCTGTCTCCAGTCCCAGGGCGGCCTCCTCGTCCCTCTCGGAGCCAAAGCTCTCCGCTGCGAGGCTGCTGTCGCTGCTCGCCATCGCGCCTGTCCCGGGCCTGAGCTGGAGCTGGAGCTGGAGCCGGAGCCGCCTGCGCCCGCCTGCTGTTCTCCCTCTGACTGCGACTCTGGCCCCTGACCGGCCCTGCAGGGGAGGCTCAGATTCCCAGCCGGGGGCGGGAGAGCCCGGGGACTTTAAATAGAAGGTGTCAAAAAGTTTCACCACGGGTCCTGGAGCCAGGGCTCAGCTGCTCCTCTTCCCTGTTCCTCTGCCAACATCCCCCAGTGGTCCCCGACCCATTTAGGAGGCTCTCCCTCGGTCCTTTTGGGCACCTGGATATCACCTTAGTCAGGGACACGGATTCCAGCTGTACCAGTGGATTTAAACCAGTGATAGTAGTTCAGTCCCGACTTCCTTTCTTCCATAATGGGCTTGGTAGGTTTTATGTTTGATGGAACGTTAGCCCAACCAATTGCTACTTAGTGAGCAGAACGCTTTGTAGCATCAGGTACTGTGCTGAATCCTTACTTTTATCCCTTCACAACTGTGGGTGGTAAGCCTTGTTGCAGTCTGTTATAGCAAAGTAACCCAATGAGAAACCAAGTTAGCTCTCCACTATTAAAAACTTGTTTTGAGCCATTGTTCATTATTGTTGCTAATATTGTTAAGTGCCGTCGAGTCAGTTCCGACCGGTAGCTACCCTAAATAGGGTTTCCGAGGAGCATCTGGTTAACTTGAAGGACTGACCTGTGTGATTCAAGTCGACTTTGCAGTCCAGCGCATTTACCCACAGTGCCACATTTACATTCAACAAATTGTAAATTATCTTCTCAAATGGCCCCTTATCTTGCTCAGGAACTTTTTTATTTCCACTAAATCTTAAGTCTAGAAGATGGACAATTTTTCCCATTGGGTGGCCACCTAGGTTTTGTCAAACTCACTCAGCCCAAAGATCCCAGAACTCTCCTTGGATCATGTCGTGCCTTCCCACTTCCCAAGCACTAAAAGCCCAAGCTCCTCACCAAGATGACCCCTGCTCAACACAGTCCACATCTTACCTGTCTGGGATGTCAAGTCATATTACTGTGCCTTTACTTGAAGTTCCTTATACTTGAAGTTTTCTTACCTTCATTTAACCTGGTTATTCACCAATCATGACTCCCTTCTTTTTATTTTTTTTCAACCATTTAAATATGGTTTTATGATTTCATTTTCAAAACTCATTTCCAGAGGACAGCTTTCCTATGAATGTTAACACAAAGTGTACAAAATGTGTTAGTTTACTAACTCTACTTTGTCATCCATTAGCAACCTCTTTAATATCTAGAGACTTCTTGTTGTTGCTAAGTGCCGTAGAGTCGGTTCCGGCCCATAGCGACCCTGTACAGGGTTTCCGAGGGTGTAAATCTTTAGGGGAGTAGAAAGCCTCATCTTTCTCCTGCGGAGCGGCTGGTAGTTTCCAACCGCTGACCTTAAGGTTTGCAGCCCGATTCATAACCACTACGCTACCAGAGCTCCTTATCTAAAGACTAGATACTATAAAATTGGGACTCATGTGTCCAATATATACATACAATATATATAGTGAGGTTAAATGAAAAGCATATAACATACAGGGCAATGGATAATCTGAAAACTTCTAGTACACACTAGCAAAAGTATTTTGCTAGTTTCTACCCTCCCATTGCCCTTAACTCAGGCAAGCAGCAAACAAGTACAGTGTCCACAGAGGTGTTTTACAATTTCATTTCCAAATGTAACACTTTCCATCAATTTAAAAAAGCTATTTACAAAGGGTTATCCTACGTAGATACATCAAGCACATCTAAACATCTAGAAAGACTAGATATTTCAAATAAGAACTTATTTGTCCACTAGATACACATTTCTGTTTAACAAAATTGCACACACATAACAATGGTCATAATCTGAGCTATCTTCCAAGTATAATCATTTTGGTCTTTTCCTCTCCTCACTTCTTTCTCTTCATCACCAATCCAGTAGACAAGTACAGGCATGTGTAATTGCTTTAGTGGTAGCTGAACAAATTCATATGCAAGTCATTTCCAGTAGACAAACCTTCCTATGAATTCAATATAAAGTGTACAAAATGTGCCAATTTTACTAAGTCTACACTGTCATACACTGGCTACCTCTTTAACATCTAGAGACTAGGTGCAAAATTAGGACTCATTTGCCCATTATATACACTGTACATAGCAAAAAAAAAAAAAATTCATATATCACACAGATAACAGGTTTTGTCTGAGACTGTCCAAGTATAAACATGCGATAATATTTACTTTTTGTGGTTCCTTCCCTCCCACCTCTTTCAAGCCACCGAACAAGTGTAAGACAGTAGCATACTGTTCAGAAGTGATTTAACAATCCCCTTCCCCAAAGACAGTATTTTCTATGGATTTTAGCAAAAAGATATGTACAAAGTGGTATTTTACTACTTCTACTTTTAATTCTGGTAGCGTAGTGGGTACAAATAGGGCTGTGAACCACAAGGTCAGCAGTTTGAAACTACCAGCCGTTGCGCAGGAGAAAGAGAAGGCTTTCTGCTCCCGTAAAGGTTTACAGCCTCGGAAACCCTGTACAGGGTCGCTATGGGTCGGAACCGACTCCACGGCACATAACAACAACAACTTGTAACATACGTCGGGCACTTCTAAACATCTAGGTAGACTAGATGTTTCAAACAAGGACTTAGTTTGTCCACTCTCTCTATATATATACACACCATTCATATTTTGAATAAACTGTATACAAGTAACAACAGTTATAATCTGAAATTGTCTTCTAAATATGAACATACTGGCTATTATGTTCATGTTTTCTGAAGACGATCTCTCCTAAGAATTATAACACAAAACGTCAAAAAGTATTAGTTTACTAACTCTACTTTGTCATACACTGGCAACCTCTTTAACATCTAGAAAGACTAGATGTTGAGAATTGTGAGTCATTTGTCCTTTATGTACCCTATACACACAGAAAAGTAAAACAACGCACAAACACAGGGATAATGCTAAATCCTGTCTCATACTAGCAGAGAGCCTTTTGCACTTCCTTCTCCTTCTTCCCCGCGACCCCCAGAACCAGTGCACAAACACAAAGTGCACTGCTCAAGGAGGTGGTTTAGTTATTCAAAAAAGCCCAACAGATAACAACAAAACCCCAATTATATCATGCGAATTTTAACAAAAAGAGATTTACAAAAGGTGTTAATTTATTACTTCTACTTTTAACATATACCAAGCACTTAAGAACATCCCAAAAGACTAGATTATTTCAAAAAGTACTTATTATCGTCTACTATTAACACAAGTGGAATCAAATGTATACACAGAACAATGGTTATAATATGAAAATGTCTTCTACATATGACCAGTCTGGCATAGAACCTTCTTCCTCACAGCCTTCTCTTCCCTTTCCTGTAAAGCATTGGACAAACGTGGGTGTGTGTCGCTTCTGATGTGACGTCTAGAGGTGACCTAACAATTCCATTTAAAGTCATTTCCAGAAGATATATATGTTTTAAAACAAATGGACATTTCCAAGACGTGTTATCTAGAAGGTCTACATGTAGTAAGTTTTCTTTTAAAAGGTTGGGAAGGGGGAGTTGAGAGCAGCTTCTTCCTATTATATGTTGTTGTTGTTAAGTGCCGTCGAGTCGGTTTCAACCCATAGCGACCCTGAATAGGGTTTCCGAGGCTGTAAATCTTTACAGGAGCAGATCGCCTCATCTTTCTCCCGCGGAGCAGCTGGTAGTTTCGAACTGCTGACCTTCCGGTTCGCAGCCCGATTCGTAACCACTACGCTACCTTTCTCATCAGGTTGATTGGTGCTTCTTAATGGCCAAATGTGGCACGTTATTCTACCATGTCTCCTTTCTAATGGCAGGGTCCGGCAGAACTGCCTAATGGCCGGCTAACCGTTCCACCCGTTGTCTTCTGGTAGACCCACTAAGGCCTTTATTCAGGACGAGAAGGCATCGCGTCCAGTTGGGACAGAGCAGTCACCCTACTTCCCGGCTTCACAAACCTTCTGAGGCCATGGTCTTAAGAAGTAACTTGAGTTTGTGTCCTTTTAGGCACGCTTTCTCAGGCCTACGAGGCCCCGAACCGCCCTCCACTGTGATTGGTTGGCCGCTATTCTAGCTCTGCCACGCCCGCCATCCGGAGACTCCACGTCCTCGTCCTTGGAGACTTGGCGGCCAGCGGGGTGCAGGCTCCGAGAGGCGGCCTCTGTCATCAGGTCACTGAGGAGTGAGGGTTCGCCCTTGTCTAAAGGCCAAACCTAGATAGATCAGAAGCTGGGCAGAGGGCTTTGGGCCTCCGCAGGGCAGGGGCTGGGGCCAGGCCCCCTTTACCCGCCGCTCAAGGCCGGAGGGCCTGGAGAGCCCAGAGGCCCGTAAGGGACCAGAAGACTATCTCGCCACACACCTCTTCTCACTGCGCTCTCTGCCTGAACTCGACCCCCTTTTTTCTTGAAATCCTCAGGCCAAGCTCAGAACCCATATTCCAAGTTGCCACATCATACTGTATTCTGTGTGTGTCCCTGTCCCCAGGAGACTTTGTAAGACTATCATCTTTGTCCCACTATCCCCATCCCATACCAGCCCAGGCTAGCAAAGTACCAGCAGCATGTGTGGGACAAATGTTTCTTGAGCTGAAAGGACATGACTAGACCTGGTAATTAGACCTTTATTTTGTGGCCACCCTAAGGAAAGCACGACAAGTGTATTACTGAAAGAACTTGTCTGCAGCCATTCACTGATCAGAGACAGCTTTGTTTGGATTTAACCAGGCAGATATCAACTGGAACACTAGTAAGAATATCTTTCGACTTAACCTTGTATATATTTTAGCACTGTATTCACAGAGTTGTAAAAATATGATGTCAATTATACTGGATTATGTGTAAATATTAGGTCCATCAGCAAAGAGCTATATATGGTTAAGATATGGTACAAAAACATCAGTTAGTGGGCACAGGGAAGACAAGAGTCCAGCCTTCACAGGTTCAATAAATCA